TGCTATGGAATTCTGGGATTTTTAATTTTGTGAGCTATTTAGCCTTCTCTGTCAGAGAGCTCTGGCGCCACAACAAACTACAAATCTCAGGATTCCATAACATGGAGCCATGGCAACTAAAGCAGTGTCAAACTGCACAAATTTTGCAGTGTGGCAGCAGCTTCTGCCATAAACCATGTTTTCTAATCCATAAGCCTCCAGCAATTGACTACCTGTTAGAACCAGAGGTTTTAAAAATAGATATTTTAGACTTTTTCATATCTTACTACTTATTTAATATTAAACTGGGGTTTTTAGATTGTTTAATTGGTATTTTAATATTATATTTAATTTAATCAATGTATCTGTATTTTCCTATATATCCATCTGTGTGACTATTTCACTGCATTTTTATTGGAATCTTTAAATTGTATTGGAAGTTACCCTTATATCCCCACCTTGAGAGAAAGCCAAAAGTATAAACCAAAGGAAGAAAGAAATACCATACTAGAGTTTATCTTCCTTTCTCCCAATAACTATGGTATAACTACATCATATAATGATCGTAAATTAACCATAAGGTGTTTGATTTAGAAGAGATAACTCCTTTTTTTTTTTTTTACAATATTTAGTTACTGTTATAATTATGGGGCTGTGGTCCGAAGTTAAGAAAGTTTTTTAAGTAATATATTCCCATATCTCCCTTTAGTGTTCAAATAGAAATTTATTATTTCAACCCACCGTTGTTATTGTTGTGTGCCTCCAAGTCATTTTCAACTTATAGCGACTCTAAGGCAAAAGTTTCTTGGCAAGTTTCTTCAGAGGGGGTTGGCCATTGACATCCTCTGAGGCTGAGAGAGTGTGACTTGCCCAAGGTCACGTAGTGGGTTTCCAGGGCAAAGTCGGGATTCGAACCCTGGTGTCCCAGTGTCTTAATCCAACACTCAAACCATTGCACCACTCACTGGAGTGTTTAAAAATGAGCGTATGCTACACAATAATATTTTATTTTCATTATTAGAATTACAGTGGACCCTTGGTATCCATTGGGGTTTAGTTCCAGGACCCCCCGTGGATACCAAACTCTGTGGACGCTCAAGTCCCATTAAATACAATGAATAGTAGTAAAATGGTGTCCCTTATATTAAATGGCATAGTCTAGGGATATATATATATTGAATATATATATGTGTGGATATGGAGGGCTGACTGTACTACGAAGATGACATAAAACCGATGGCCATGTTGGCTGGGAGATTCTGGCAGTTGTAGTCCAAAAAGTAACATTTCCAGTCGGTGAATAAGCCAGTGAAAGTGGCCACATGCTGCCATTAATGATACACTTGTCTAGCCTGGTGCTGTTAAACAGTTGTGACGTCATTGTCCGAACTTGCCTTCCCCGAATCCAATGCCTTCAGACATGTTGCACCACACCTACCTATCATCCACGCTTAAAGCCAGCAGTTCAGTTTCATCCCAGCAGCCACTGTTTCTGAGCCCCAAATGTGAGATTTTATTTTTTACACCAACTAGAAAAGTGGAATTTTAACAGGCCAAAAGTTTCTTTGGCTGGCAATTATCACACAACGCTATCGCTGCTTTGCATTCCATTTGTTACTGTAATGCACCTTTTCATTGATGGGCAAAGCCTGTCCATAGACTCCCAATCTCAACTTACTGTCAGTTGATGCAAACTCAGTTCAGGTGCAAAAATAGTTTGTACTCAATAAAAATAGCAGGGGAGAGAAGAGGCGGCGGCAAAATTTTGCACTTCCCAGTAGGCTCAGAGAAAAGCAAACTACTGCAGCCTCTCATAGGACATTATCACACGGGGGCAAATCTGCTGGTTAATCCACACAAAACCCAAACAGAAACTGTATTAGTGCCCCGTGTTTTCACACGATGTCGCACAGAAACTGGACAGAAAGTGGACAGAAACTGGTGTTAACGGAGATCTTTTGAAATTTGGTTGTTTGGAGGAAATGCAAATGTGAAATTAAGGTAATTTCGCATTTACCATAATGTGAAAAGCAAATGCACATTTGGGAGCATTTCCCTGCTTTTCCCATGGTTCCAGCGAGCATTCCTCTATCTGCGCATGTGCAAGAAGTTCATTTCTAGTACATTTACAGGCTTTTCTTGCTTGTATGTGAATGTTAAATGCGCTTACCTTAATTTCGCAATTAAGGTAATTCCATTTGCGGAATCAAGGTTTATTTTCCGTTTATTTTCGGAATGCCTCATTTCCACTTTATTATCGCTTTCTGGCCCACGTGTGATAAAGTCCTTAGCTTGTGCAACCTTCCCTATTAATAATGTTTGTCATTATGCCCAGATGATGATGTTGCTTGGTCGCATGTGCCCAGTTTACACCAGTTAAATGTTGGAAGGTATGGCATGGTCATATAATATCCATTAAAAAAAATCCAAAAACCTCCTCAGCTGCAGAGGTGGAGAGAGCCTTCTTAAATTTTACTCATACTTTAGAAAATTAAATCATTGCTATGTGCTCCCACCCTCCCCACCATCCATTTCTACAACTAGTCCAGGGAAGTGAAACTTGACTTTTGGTAAACTCTCACAGTGTGGAGTGAGGATTACATTGCATTTTAGGCAGGCAACAGTTGAGACCGGATCTTCAAATTTTTCCACTCTAGAGCATGGCCTGAGACAAAGGAGTTTATCACACGGGGGAAATCCCGTGCGAAAACGGGGCTTTAAATTAGAAAAAACAAACAAACGCAAAAGCAGTCATGATTTCACACAACGTTGCTGTTAAATTGATGTTAAAAAGAGGTTAATCTGAACGAAAACCCCTCATTTATGCTTTTTTTTTTACTTTCGGAAAAACCCAAAAGTAAAAATGAGGGGTTTTCGTTTGGATTAACCTCCCTATTAACAGCGCTTTCACATTTCACACAGGGCAGAACGGGAGAAATCCCATTCATTAAAAGCTTCCGCTTTTGCAGGTTTTTTTAAACTTTAAAGAGCGATTTTGCATGGGGCTCCCTGTGTGATAAACTCCATTGAGCACAATGGCATTCAAGCAACTCATTCTCTAAAAAGAGAATGAGGCCCCATTGATACTACACCGTTCTAGTACTGATTCCACTTTAAATCCGAAATATACTCCAAAACCCAAAACTTTTTTCATGGGTGGTTGAGATAGTGGTACTTTTGCTTTCTGATGGTTCGGCGTACATAAACTTTTGTTTCATGCACAATGATATTAAAAATATTGTGTATAAAATTACCATCAGGCTATGTGTATAGGGTATATATGAAACATAAATGAATTTTGTGTCCCATCTCCAAAATATTTCATTATGAACAGAGACCGCAGTCAAGAAATTAAGGCTAGGAGAACGAGGGACAGTTAGGAAAGAACTAGACAAGATCCTAAAATACAAAGATATAACTCTGAGCACTAAAGTGAGGATCGTCCAAGCCGTCGTGTTCCCCGTTGCCATGTACGGATATGAGAGCTGGATAAGAAAGCGGATAAGAAGAAAATCCATTCATTTGGGATGTGGTGCAGAAGAAGTGTGCTGAGGGTACTGTGGATGGCCAAAAAGGCAAACAATTTGGTCTTTTAACAGATGAAGAAGACTGAGTATTATTAAATCATGGTACTCTTGTGTCCTCTGGTGGCAGAACCAGAGAGTACAATTTGACATGGCCTATATGTAATGATGTCCACATATTCTACATCGAGCCTGAAAAAGTTACTTTTGAAGAGTCCAACTCCAATTCCCTGGCAGCATGGTAATAGATAAGAACTACAGTGGTCCCTTGGTATCTGCTGGGGTTTGATTCCAGGACTCCCATGGATACCAAAATCTGTGGATGCTCAAGTTCCATTAAATACAATGGCATATTAAAATGGTGTCCCTTATATAAAATTGCACAATCAAAGTTTGCTTTTTGGAATATATATATATATATATTTAAATATTTGCAAGCCATGGATGCTTGAATCTGTGGATAAAAAAATCTATGGATATGGAGGGCAGACTGCACTGATTTCTAGGGACCCCGGTGACCACTTGTAACCAAAGAAATCATACTCCCTTCCTCTCCCTCTCCCTGGAACATCAAGTGGTGTGTGTGTGTGTGTGGAAAAAATGTAAGAAAAATGATATTTCAACAACATTTTTATTCCAGATGAAATAGGCCCCAGGAACACTCATTAGCCAATGAAACATTTCAGGCAGCTAATTTTATATGTGCCTTCAGGTTGTCTGTCGACTTATTGTTACCCCATGAATTTCATAGGATTTTCTTAAGCAAGGAATACTCAAAGATGGTTTTGCCAGTTCCTTCCTCTGAAATATAGCCTACAGCACCTGGTTTTCCTTGGCAGTCTCCCATCCAAATACTAGCCAGGGCTGACCCTACTTAGCTTCCAAGATCAGACAGGACCTGGCTGTTGTTGTTGTTGT